AACCCATGGCTGATATGTAGAACTGAATGATATTGTAAAATAAAAAATATATATCACAAAAAAAAAAAAAACTACACAGAGAAACCCTGTCTCGAGGAAAAAAACAAAAAAAGAACTCCATCTGTAGCCCCATGCTGAAAAAAAAGTTTGGATCCATCTGGAACATTCTCAAGGACACCCCAGTCCCCACAGATATCCCCAGACCGGGGCAAGCTGCATCACCACGGAGGTGGGGGGAGGGGGGTGCTGGTGTCACCACAGTGCAATGCTTGGCAGGAGCCACAGGGTGTAGGGTATCCTTCCCTCCCCTGGCCTCAGGCCTCTCCTCCTGAGTCCCCTGCGGCCTGTGTGGATGCAGTGTGGGGCGAGTATCTGTGCCTGGAGGTCCCTGTAACAGAGCTGGGCAGGAGCACAGGGGCTTCCAATCCTCAGCATGGACGAGGTGTAACCAGCCACGGGAATCTTCCTCCTCCGTGGGTGTATCTAGGGGTGTCTGGGAGCCCACAGAGTAGTGGAGGATCTAGAGGAAGGCACTGACTGATACAGCCCTCTGGCAAACCAAGTCTTCAGAGCATCCTCCATCTTGGAGCGTCCATCTTCAGCGCCTGCCTCCCTCTCAGGGAAGTCCCCTTCTATAAACAACCCCAAGTCCCACTCTTCTTTCCCGGAAGGCTGAGCCACTGGATATGACATCCATAAGTGCCTGGTTGGCCCCTCTCATCAACTCCATAAACAAGGAAGAAGGACAGATAGGATTTTTATGGGGCTCCCCCACCCCCAGCATTGACCACTGGCTGCTTCTTGCTCCTTGCTACCCTAATTATGTACCATGTACCTAGCAGCTGCCAATATCCCAAGCTCATAAACCTGATTTAGTAGTGATTAGGGGTTTGAACCAGTCCAGTCCCCCCAACCCCCACCAGATAAAAGGTGAAAAGCTGAGCCACGGTTTGGTCAGTCCTGCCCCTGTTCTCCTCTCCAGGGAACCATCTCTGCCTCTCAAGCCATGTCATGCAGAAATTTCCAGCTGAGCTCCAGATGTGGCAGCCGGAGTTTCAGCTCATGCTCGGCCATCACGCCCCGGATGGTCACACACTATGAAGTGAGCAAGGGACCCTGTCGTCCTGGAGGTACCGGGGCCCTGCGAGCCCTGGGCTGCCTTGGCTCTCGCAGCCTGTGCAATGTGGGCCTCGGGAGGCCCCGTGTGGCCTCCAGATGTGGCATGCCAGGCTTCGGGTACCGAGCGGGAGCCGCCTGCGGACCACCCACCTGCATCACCCCCGTCACCGTCAACGAGAGCCTTCTGGTCCCCCTGGAGCTGGAGATCGACCCAACAGTGCAGAGGGTGAAGCGGGACGAGAAGGAGCAGATCAAGTGTCTCAACAACAGATTCGCATCCTTCATCAACAAGGTAGGGGCAGCCGGGGTGCTGCGGGGCAGTGCTGCGGGGCAGCCGGGGTGGTGCGGGGCAGCTGGGGTGGTGCGGGGCAGC